CACCCACCCACATCCACACCCACACCCACACCCATGTAATACCCAAGGCATTTTTTAGAGTGCACTCTAAAAAATCAAGACATATTAGGTGTTTTAACAAGACGATTCATCCGTCTATGCAAGACGCTTCGAGCTATTTCTTATTGGCTTATATATGTTCAATTTAGACACTTCAAGTGTCAACGGATAACCGATTTTAGACACTGGCGTGTCTTAAAATTTTCTGATTGGATCGTTTGCACCAATCTAAGTAAGCGTCTTGGAAGTGTCATTTTTAGACATTTAGACACTTCAACTAACCTATGACTTACCGATTCTAGAAAAAAAAAGCTTCAAATGAACATTAACTAAGTACAATGATAGGATAAGGGGGAAGGTCATCTTTGAATAAAATGACTATTTTTTCTTCGAAACACATGAAAATTTGTTCACATAGGTAAAAACTGATGGCGAATCGAGTGGACATATTTTCAAGATCTTCAGAGGGTCTACAGAGGGTCTCTGGAAAACCGTGCCGAGAAAAACATAGTTTTGTGATATCAATCGATATTTTATGAACTTTAATAGACAAATTAATCACTCTTCATGCTGGGCTATATAAAATGAACGAAGACATGATGAATAAAAGCATTGAAATAGAAAAAAAAATGTTTATTAAGGTTCGTTTATGTTTTTATTTGTTATTGTACGATGTGATTGAACTGATGTTTTGCAGAATTGACTGAAAAACAGTTTTAATACATCAGCGTATGTTTGACCTTGAGAATATGCTTCGATTGAACGCCAGAAACGGCGGAATAGTTTTAATGCAATATTTCGTTCGACAAAATGTATACGAGAATCCGCTATTAATTTTATCATTTTTTCAAAAGTTTGATCTGTACGTGAACGAACAAATGCCTTTTGATTGCACCAAAGACCTTCAATTGCGTTTAGTTCACGATGATATTTAGGACAGTATATAATCTTAACATTATATTTGCTCGCCAACATCTCAAGTTTTTTAACCTATACAATAGAGTAAATTATATAGGATGAAATATATTTCAAAATATGGAGTGATGTTCACTTACGTTTTGAAAAGCTCGATGTTTTGAAAGTAATGCACGAATTTCATCTAGTTTAGCCTTAGGTGGTAATTGTACACCTAATTCTTTAGCTAGTTCAGCTAAACCTTTTGATTGATCTTTGTATGGTCCCTGTTTAAAATAACAATCAATAACTTTTGTTACACCGTTTTCGTCGGGATATTCGATCTGATCGACTGGACACCGATGACCAATGCCTTTAGCAAATTCTTGTAATGAATATGCCTTAGCAGTATGAGTTCTTGCGTTGTCGACAATGACTTCTATCTGATTATTCTTATAGTCTTGTTTAAATTCCAGCATTTGAAATAGCCTTTCGAACTGATCCAAGATAGTATTGTTATCGAAGTAAGCGTCTGTCCCAATATTAATACTAGCTGTTGCTGTTCGACTAAGATAATTAACATCGCTATCGGCACTTAACGATTTATATTTTGTGATAGCTTGTTTCCATTCATCTTCACTGAGTTCAAAAAAATGGTCCACTAGGATGTTGAACAAGAAAATCCGAAACCATATGACTGCGACCACGGCCTTTTGAAAAGAACGGTGTATTTTCACTGAAAAACCACCGTTTTGGACTAACATCACCGCTTCTAAAGGTTGATTCATCATGAACTAGGAAAAATAAACATAAACAACAGCACAATAGAAATTATATTTAAAAAGTTTCGATTACTGCGCTTACATATAAGTATTCTATGAGGATTTTGGGTCGGCATATTCCACATAGGTTGGTCACCATCAGTAATTGTGTAATAAGAATCTTTACGTGCTAGAAAATAGTTAATAAATTCATTACGGTGCTTCACAACATCGTCTCTTTCATGTCCTTCAAAATATGGGCGCTGTGAATTCGCTTCGAATTTAGCTCCCCATCTGCGTAGATCTAGACGACAAATTCTTTCCGATCGTATAAAATCATCACCAGCTTGTCTTTGAATTCCGATTAATTCATAATATTTGTCATCAATAAACTGAGCTAAATCCAAAGCCTTAAAATCTGCTGATTTTTGTGAACATTTTTCAACAACGAATGCTCTAGCATCTACTTCAATCTCTGGGAACGTGTCATAAAATGAATCAGTTTGTTTACCACGAATATGTCTTGTAATCCGGAAGATAAAAATCCGGAAAACAAAAAATTCGGAAAACAAAAATCCAGAAAACCAAAAATCCGGAAAATAAAAAACCCGGAAAAGAAAAAATCCGGAAAATGAAAAATTCGGAAAACAAAAATCCGGAAAAGAAAGGG